GTGCCCAGATGCTAAGTTCAAGCCCAGAACACACACGAGTGCATGTGCGCACGTCACTCACACTGATATTCACAAAAGTTCATGGGGCTCATATTCCCTTTACAACAAGGGAGGTGCCATTTAGGAGCATCTAATGATGGTCTTTTCTCCTAGTGAAGCCCCATGTCTGTGATGTGAATTCCCACTCTCTGACAGAGCTGTGCAGTGTATTGGTATCTCTTTAGCATGGTTTTCAAAGAGGACTGTCCCGAGTCTCATCAAAGCACCCTGTGTAGCAAACAATGAAGCAGAACAGACACATTAGGCTGTTTAAATACGCTCTATACCTCGGTCTCTGAATTACAGGGCACTGCTGGCTCAGTCCTATAATCCTAGCTACTCAGGAGGCTGAGATCTGAGGATCGGGGTTCAAAGCCAGATGGAGCAAGAAAGTCCATGAGACTCTTAACTCCAATGAACTACTCAAAAAAGCCAGAAGTGGTGCTGTGGCTCAAGTGGTAGAGTGCAAGCTTTGAGCAAAAAGAGGCTCAGGGAGAGTGCCCAGGCCCCAAGTTCAAGGCCTACAGCCGACAAAAAAAAGAAAAAAAAATGTCATTTAAGTAAAAAAAATAAAGTATGCCTTTTGGGAGGAAAAAAAAATGCTTTAAGAAAACTTTCAAAGAGAAAGACTAAGGCAAGCCTGGACAGTTCCTACCTTTAATCCAGCTACTTATGAAACTGAGGAGAAAAGTCTGAGAGATTCACCTCCAAAGACTCAAGTAGCAGAGCCTTGAGTGAAAAAAAACTAGGAGACAGCACCCAGACCCAGAGTGTTCAAACCTCAGTAAACACACACACACACACACACACACACACACACACACACACACACACACACACAGCTGTTCATTCATACCTGGAAGGAATTACCAGGTGACATTATTATGAGTAGTCCTCAATGTTTCTCCTTGGCCCTTTCATTCCTGCAGCTGGTATTCAGCTGGTCACAAGACCCTCTGTAATAAAAATGCATTTTCCAGCTTTACTGGCAACTGAATATTATGTGTAAAAAGTCCAGAAAAAAGTCCTTAAGATGTCCCTTCTTCATCTCTTCCTGCTAGAGGACTAGCATACAGATGTGATGCCTGCAGCTCAAAACCCTAAGGGTCAGGGTTAAAAGACACATGGCAAAGACTGATTCCTACCCAAACCCTTTTTTGTTCTCTTTTTCCTGAACCCATGACTCTCTGACATTTGCTGGTCTCCCTCATAGTGAGGCGTGGCTGTGACTAATCTCTCTCTGGGGCTGTGATCAGAGACAGACTCTTGACAGTGAGTACGCTGCCGCTGTAAGCTAGTCTTCTTCCGCCAGCTGGACCTTCTGGTGACAAGCTAGCCTCGACCAAGCAAAGGTCAAGGTGGCAAGAAGCCAGAAGATGGAGAAACCCAGGTTCCAGAACCTCAAAAGGAGATCGCTGCCACCAACCTGGAGTTGCTTTGAGGGATCATTATATCTGGGGTTCTATGTCACAACACTAGTTTATCTTGGGACTAGATTTAGTGGCACAGCTTCCAAACTCCTCAGTACTAACTCTGAGACACTTGTGTGTGCACGCAGCACATGTGTGTGTGTGTGTGCACGCGTGCGTGCATGCGCACTGGTCCTAGGGCTTGAACTCAGGGCCTGGGCACTGTCCCTGAGCTTTTTAATGCTCAAGGATAGCACTCTGCCACTTGAGCCACAGTTCCACTTCCAGCTTTTTGGTGATTAATAGGAGATAAGAATATCATGGACTTTCCTGAATGGCTGGCTTCAAACCAGGATCCTCAGATCTCAGCCTCTCTGAGACATGTGTGTGTGTGTGTGTGTGTGTGTGTGTGTGTGTGTGTGTGTGTGTGCCAGTTCTAGGGCTTGCAATTAGGGCCTGGATGCTGTCCCTGAGCTGCTTCTTGCTCAAGTATAGTGAGAGTGCTTCAGCCACAGTGACATTTCTGGCTTTTTCTGAGTAGTTTGTTGGAGATAAGAGTCTCACAGCCTTTCCTACCTGAGCTGGCTTTGAACTGTGACCCTCAGCCTCCTGAGTAGCTAGGATTAAAAGGTGTAAGCCACCAGTACCCAGTAATAAGGACACTTCTTAATAAAGGAACCGAAGCCATGAGAATGCAATGAATTTGCCTAAGGTCATAGAAGATGGCTGAGAGTAGGGTGTTTGCTTCAAGTGGTAAAGCACCTGCCTAGATCCACCTCTCCTGACATCTCATCACTTTTCTCACACCTATGCCCATCTGCCTTCTGTGGGCCCACATATGTGGATTTGTGCCATCAGATTTCAGTTTCAGCAAGAGGAAAGGTAGGGAGGAAGAGATGGCATGCATTTTTCTTGGCCTGCATTAGTGAGCTATTAGCTACTTAGAGCGATTAAATTACCTAGACTGAGCACTCAACTCCATATCATATACAAAGGACAGATCTGCCTAACAATGTCCCCAAGATCCATCTCGGTTTAATGCAGGCAAATTTGACCTCGGTATCAGGGGATTACAGTGTCATCAAGTCCCTGGCAGGCCTTAATTATACTCTCTTAGAGGGAAATGAGAAATTCAAACATAGAGAATTCATTGGACTGCTACAGATTACACATAGAAAGAAAATAATGTAGAAGAAAAGCATTGACTATGACGGTCATAATTAAATAAATAACTACCTTTTATCATTTAATCCTATTGGTAACCACCGTGGATGAAGCTACGTGCATACATAATCTTATTTGATTTCTGGATTAGTCAGTTTTGCTGTGGAAACAAACAGCTCCCCAAATCTCTATACAACAAATGCGTCTGTTTTGCTCATGCTATATCTATTTCCCAAGGCTTTTCATTCTGGAGTCAGTCCTGTGGGGACCTGCCATCTGGTGATGGAAAGGAAGAGTCAGTAGTGAAAACTTGGAATACCAGTTATGTCTGCACATAGGAATAGGCAAAAAAAAAAAAAAAGTATAATCTCCATAGAGGAAATGACAGCTATTGGGCTGTGAATCCTGCAAGGGAAATATTAATTCCACCACTCTCCTTGTTGAGACTGGAACTATTCCTCCCATCTGGAGGTGACTAGAGGAGGTTTAGGTAAAGTTTGAGCTAAGGTTTGAAGGGGAGATTGATGATGGGAAGAGCATGAGCAGGAATTTTGTAGGTAGAGGAAATCAGAATATAGAGGTAGCACAGAGATCAGATGGACCACCTCGGCTAGCCATAGAGTGGGTGAGAGATAAAACTGAGAGGATAAGGGTTCAGATCATGGGAGGGCAGGTTGGAGAAGGGTGTTTGAATGCTAGACACAGATTTACTTCACCTAGGAGGCAGTTATAAGCTTTAGATATTTTTTTGCATGAGACTGCCACCATGGCTAAAAGGATCACTTCTGAGGGATGGTGTCAGGGGCAGGGAGCTGACAGAAGGGGACACTGAGAACAGGGAGACCAGCCATGCCCAAACTAAGGTAGGCCTCTTGAAGGTGGGTGGTGGTGGTCAGGAGAGCAAGGCTCAGTTCCAGAAACTCAGAAATTAACCCCATTTCCACCATCCACCCAGTACTCCACAATAATCATCAGGTAATTCAGCCCATGTGAAGAAAGTGTTTTTGTTGGGGGGCAGGAGGGTTTATTTGGTCATGGGGCTTGAACTCAGGGTCTAGGGACTGTCCCTGAGCTCTTTTGCTCAAGGCTAGCCATTTTGAGACACAGCATCACTTCCAGTTTTCTGGAGGTTAATTGGAGATACCTCTCACAGACTTTCCTGCTGGGGATGACTTTGAACTGGGATCCTCAGATCTCAGCCTCCTGAGTAGCTAGGATTACAGGTGTGAGCCATCAGCACCTAAGCTAATGTTCAATTAGATTAAGCTATAACATACAGCACTGGACTTTCTTTTTAGAATGAAAGCCAGGCAAATGAAAGCTCCAAGACAAGTTCCCACCTCCCCACAAGGAAGTGATTCGGTGAGTCACAGCCCATTCCCACACATAAAGAGCATCCCCCTGCCAGGGTTTAGGTGAAGTGTTGCAGATAAATCCAAGCTAAGCCCAGGGTCTGGGTGGTTGGGAGGAGGGTTAAGATCCGTTTCTGGCTGAGGCATCATCCAGGTGGCCATCTCTAGCAAGAACTTGAAAACAATTTTTTTTTCTTCTGAGATCTCAAGCTCCACTTTCTGTACAAAGGTGTTTCCACAAATGAGATAAAAATAACCACATGCGAAAATGCTTTGAAGGTGATAAGCGCCATTAGAACTGTCTAATTTCAGAATTTGTCTGCCCTATGGTCACAGATCCATACAGATTTGAATATTCCTCGATTAAAAAATAATAATAACCCCCAAACACCCAACTAGTCCTACTGTTTTACGACCAGATTGGCCTGCGTTCAAGAGTACCTGCTAAGGAAAGAGTCACACTGGTCAATAACAAAAAGGTGGACACAATCAAGGAGTAAGAAAACCTTAGGAAAAGGATGCGCATCCAGAGGACATTTCCTGCCCCTGGGAGAGGCCGCAGGGTTGTCTGGGGTGGACAGCCTGAGCATCCTGCTAAGGGGACTCCCTGGGGACCTCTCCAGGATAAGGCCTTGGCCTTCGGCTGGCACCCAGGAAAAGGACAGCAACCCTGCAGCCCCAGCCCTCCGCGGGGACCCGGGAGACCCCTCCACAAGACAAAGGCTCAGCCACGGGAGGCCGAGAGTGCGCGTGCGCCACGGAGCGCGCGTGCGCGCAGCGGTCAGCGCCGCGGCCCGAGGCGTGGCGGGAGTGGGCCCAGGGAAAGGAAACGCGGGAGCAGCCAGCCAGGCGGCGCGGGAGGGCTGAAAGGCGGAGCCGCTCGCGCGCGCCCACTGGTGGATGGAGGGGGAGACGCCCATGAAGTCCTTGCTGCCCGCCCCGCTCCTCCCCTCCCCTGCCCTTCCCCTCTCCTGGGAGGCTCGCGCTCCCGCCGCTCGCGCCTGCGCCGCCCGCCGCTCGCGGGAACGCGCCCTCTTCCCGGCGCGCGCACTCGCAGTCACCGCCACCCACCAGCTCCGGCACCAGCAGCAGCGCCGCCGCCACCGCCCACCTTCTGCCGCCGCCGCCTTCTCCTCCACTGTCCTCTTCTGTCCTCGCCTTCTGTCGACCATCAGGTAAGCACCGAGTCTCTGAAATCTGCCCCCCGGTTCGCCCCCTCTTACAACCCCACGTCGCCCTCCCCTCGCCCCAAAGATGGGTTTATTGCGCTGGGCGTCCGTGAAGGGGTGCAGGTAACGGGGGGCCCACCCCGCGCCCTGGACGCTCGGCACTGGGAAAGGAACGCGTGCAAGCGATGTACGCGCGCGAGGAGTGCGTGTGTCTGTGCTGTGTGCTGGGGGGGAGGGGGTCTGCACGACCCTCTTCGCACAAACCGGGGGGAGGCCGAGCCGGCGGGGTGGGGGGCAGAGCCGGGAGGGAGGGCTGAACCAGCTTTGGGGGGGGGGGGACTGAGCCCGGAGGGGAGGCCGAGCCGGCGGGGGGGGGGAGCTGAGCGGAGGGGGCACGGACGGCGGTGACCCTGGGGAGGGGTCAGCTCTGCACGCCTGATCTCAGCCTTTTGCCGCAATGGGCGTGGGTCTGTGTGTGTGAGTGTGTGTGTGTGTGTGTGTGTGAGTGAATGTGTGAGAGAGAGGGGAGAGGGGGGTCCAATGATGACCGCCCCCTCCCCCCACCCCCGCCGCAACCGATTCTGAAAGCGGATTTCTCCGATCCGGTTTGCCGTCCACCCCAAGGAAGACATGGATAAGGTTCTAGAAAAGATGACACCTCTCGGAGCGGGCCTCCGTTGCTCCTGATTTTAGGCAGTGGCCCACCTCCTCTCCTTTTTCTCCTTCAAGGGGAAAAAAAAGAACCTTCAGGGGACATTTGGGGGCTGGGAGGAATCGGGGAGCTGGGGAGGGGTCCAGGCGCGCTGTCATAGCCGCCCTTCCCCCTGCGCGCTCCCGGCGCGAGACCCGAGCCGCGCCGCGCCCGAGGGAAGGCGGTGCGCGGACCTCGCCGGGCAAGCTCCAGAAGGCACGGGTCACCCGGCCTGGCCACGGGAGCTGGCCGGGTGGCCGCGGGGGCGGGCCCGCAGGCGCCCACCGGCGTGGAGCGGTGGCTGCAGGTGCATTTCGGGGCGGTTCCTTTCTCCGCGTTCGTCGCCAGGCGCCGGAGCGCCGGGCGTGTGCGCTCCCTGCCGGAGGCGCGGGCGGGCGCGCGAGGCTCGCCCCTCACTGCGGCAGTGGTGGGTGGGGACCTGGGTGGGCGAGGGTGGGGGGAGCGTGGGATGTGCCGCCTCCCGCTCCCACCCTTCCCCCGCTCCCCCCCCCGAACGCGAGGTGCCATCTTTTTGCAGCGTGTCACGTCTTTATCGTACCATGCCAGGTCGGGTGGCCGGGCTCTGGAGGACCCGGCAGGGACCGACATGAAAGGGGAGAGGGGTAACGGGCGCCCAAGTCTGGAGCTTTTGCGGTTTGCGAGCGTGAGGCCTGGGGGGGCGTTCACCGGCGTTTTCTAAGGGAGCGCCCCGCTTTGTTTGTAGAGGTTACGTGATCTGCGATCTGCGCTCCCAGCCTAGCGTTTTGCCTTTTATTCTAAGCGCCTTCCCCCTGAACCTCCCGGCCACACACACACACACACACACACACACACACACACACACACACCTTTTTCTCCCCCCCATTTCGATCCCTTTGTTGAAACTCAGGGCTTTCCAGGGTCCTCAGGGCTCCCCAGGGCACGCGCCAAAACGAGATGGTGACCCCGCGCAGCCCTTTCCACGAGTTCGGCCCGGTGCCTGGAAGCGTTAGCTGGGGGGATGGGAGTGGAGGGCTCCGTGGTGCCCGGCGCTTGGTGGCCTGGAGGGGACCACACCCCTCCCTGCACTGGGAACAACCTGGGGGCCACACCCCAACTAGCCAATTCCTGGTGTTGGAAGGAGCTGGAAGGCAGGCCCCCTTCCCTGCTTTACACCTTACAGGCCCCTCCTGGCTTTACGCCTTGTGGCAACGAGGGACAGAGAGTGGGGGGAGGGACTTTAGGTCCTCCCTGTGGCCACACCCATCTTTGGGATACCAGTGAGAGAGGTGGGGGTACCATGGAGGATTGCTGTGCGAACCACACGCGTCCCGAAGAGGGCCCTGGGGACCGTGCCTGCTCCTTTTCCCGTGGAGGTTGAGCACCCCGGGGTGGGGAGGTGGCTTAGCCCCCCCGGAGAGGGTGCGGGAGGGAACCCGCCATCCCCGACTGGTGGCTCATTCTGATTGGTCCAAAGGCAAGAGCTACCCAGCTAGGCATCCCTGGTGTATTTTTATTATTGTGGGCTTACCTGTCAAGACTATTTTTCACTCCAGTCCAAGTTTTCCATCGTAGAGGGGTAGAGGGGTGGAGGGCGAACTCCCGATGATCAAGTCTTCGGTAAGCCTGGTACGAGTGGTTTTCTGGTTGCTTCTGTAGCTGAACATTGATGGGAACAGGGTATACCTGAGCATACCCTGGACCCAGTTAGCATCGTAGAGGCCGAGTGGTGCTTGTAGGCCGCCAGGTTGCTCAGAATTCCGGAGAATGGCTTGGCAGCTGAACCCACCTGGGCTGGGGTATCAGGGCGTGCGCCCCCCCTTCCCCGGTTTTGGGCGCTTCCACGCACTTCGTGGCTGGGTGCAGCCGGAGGTGGTGCCTGAGCAGCTTAAGGATGGATGCAAGCACCTTGGGCGCACTCCCTTCCCTCTAGGACCTCAATGGGCTGCAGGAGCCCGGTTCCTGGACAAGGAAGCCAGGGAACAAGGCTTACCAGGGAGGCCGCTGAGGCACAAGTGTCACCTCCCATCCGTCGTGGGGAGGGAGGTCGGAGGGGGCGGGCGCGCGCAGCTCAATGCAGAAACAAAGCGCAAGCCACGTGCCTTCGATTTCCGTCGGTTCTGAAAGGGGTTGGTAGTTTGGCCAGGGCGCTGCTGTTGCCAAGGCGATGTTAATGAAGGATTGTTGTGGCCACGAGATGCCCCCCCCCCCAAGGTCATGAAAATTGGGGAAACTCCTTCTTTAGTTGTAGGCTTCGCCACCGGACTTGGGGGTCACCAGGATGGTACAGTGCTCAGACAAACACAGCACATCCAAAAATATCCCTGCCTCATGTATGTGCCTTCATACCCCGCCCCCCACTCCCACGCCTCCATTCTCAGCAGGCAAGGGCTCTTTTATGTCAGCAGAGACTCCACCCGTCCTCGGGCACTCTGGAGCTCCAGGCTTGGATCTTGGTTGGTTGCAGATGGGGATGGAGGATGGGACCTGTGACAATGACAATGTGGGCCCAGGCCCAGGCTCTGGGGAGAGGTTTTGAGTTCTGTGGGACCCCTACTGTGTGACTGGTTGTATAGCGGAAAGGGAAAAGTCTGCCTGTGTTAGTTTCTGTTGTAAATTCTGGTTGTCTGTTTGTGTTGAATGAAGCTATTTTCTCACCTGTCAACTCCCCATTTCCAGACCTTCTCTGGATAGATAACTAGCACCCCACCCTCTCTCCAGGCTCCCCAGCAGTCAGGAGTGATTTTGGAAACTCATGGATTCCTTGACCAATATCAGTTGCCTCCCTGGCCCTGGATGCTGTCCCTGAGCTCTTCAGCTCAGGGTGAGCGCTCTACTACTTGAGCCACAGCACTACTTCTAGTTTTCTGGTGGTAAATTGGAGATAAGAGTCTCACAGACTTTCCTGCCATGTCTGGCTTTGAACCATGATCCTCAGTTCTCAGCCTCCTGAACAGCTAGGATTACAGGTGTGAGGCACCAGTGTCGGGCTCTTTTTTTTTTTTTTTTTTAACAATAACCTGGCCAGACAGTCCATGACTGTATGCCCCAGTCTTTCAGAGACCTGGCCTGCCCATACCCATAGTGGTGAAAGGGTGTGGCTTGTAAGTGACTTCTAGTGTCAGGCACTGTTTCCCAGACAGGAACAAAGAAAATTGATAATGTCACAAAGTGCCAGATTGAGGAAAGATCCGGTTTATTCCCACTGGGAAAAAGAATCCCTTGTATTGAGCATGCCCTTTGACTCACATATCCTTGGAGGTTAAGATTAGCCTGCCAATAAGATAGCATTGTGGTACCCTTTCTGTAGGCTAACTTTCCCTTCTACCTTTTAAACATCAGTTCATGCAACTTATTTGTTGAAAAGTTTTAAGTTGTTTTTTTTTTCCTACTTTCCTTCAGCATTGTATAATGTCATTTGAGAGGCTCCCTAGCTGTGGGTGTGAACATGTGTTACTTTGGATTTGTGGTGATTTTCCAACCAGTCTTTGCCTTCTATTTCTTTAGTCAGTTTATTCCTTCCTTCTACCTTAAAAAGGAATTACTTTGAAACAAATAAAAACACACTTGGGCTAATACAAGACTAGACATATAGTAGGTGTTTATTCTATACTCACCTAACAAATAACTGGATAAAATGTAAGCCTCTGTGTCAAGAGAGTAACTAAGAGAAAGCAGAATGGAAACATTGGGAAAGTTTGGGAGCAAATCCAACCCAGATTGTCCCAGCTCTGTTTCCAAGTGATGCCCAGACAATTGCCTCTGCCCGGGCGTACCTCCTTGCCCTGCTTCGGACCCTATAGCCTTATCTCAGGGCTTACCTCTTCCTTGTTGACCAAAAGGGGAGAGAAAAGGGGGAGAGGCCGTGTTCTAATTGGCTACCCCCTGGGCTGCACCTCCTAGAGGTATAGAGCCCTGCTCCCTCTACTTCTCCCTCTCCAACCCCCTCCTGCTTCTTTTATCATTCACTTCAGAGACACCCTCTTCACCTCTCCATAACCCTAAAAATGCCCACTTGACCAAAGATGATTTGGCACTGGTGTTAGGGCACCTTGGCAGGTAAGGAGGAGAAGACTCCAACCTTCCAGCTGGGCTGCAGGAGAGGAGCCTGGTGTTCAAGCTGTGCCAAGGAAGCTGCTAAAGTCCAGCAAGACACAAGCCATTCCCTTCCTTGAGGAATGATTGGGCCCCAATGTCAGCAGGGCAAAGTAGAGAACCTATGCTGTAGAAACCCTTGCTCAGGCCCTGTATCTCAACCACATCCATCAAGTGGCTTCTTGGAGATGATGATGTTTAACTTTTCTCTCGTGTAAGTGGGTGCTGTTACTACTTCTGT